GAATCAAATTTAGTGTAAGAGAACCATTAATTATGTCAAGTATACAAATATGATCCAAATAAAATTAAAGAGTAAACGGCCCTTTCAAAATTTGAAATTACCTTTTAAATGAAGCTGCTCTGACAGCTTGGTATATGCCTTTTGAGTTACTAAATATAATTCAAAAGAAATAAGATGGTGTCTGCTCTCTCAGAAATCTATAAAAGGAAAACATAATATATATTTAGTCTAAAAACAAACACTGAAATCCACAAGACCAACAACATTTGGAATGTTCATATCATATTAATGGTACTTACTGTCAAATTATATACAAATAATCATACATTAAGCCTAGATCAAAAAATAAAAATACCCACCATTAACTGAATCCCTACTGTGCACTTGGTGATGCACTAGGTACTTCACATGCATTATTTTGCATCCTAACAACAACTCTGCAAGGTAAGTATTATTCTTCTTTACAGCTTAGAAAAAAACAGTCAAATAAGTTGGGTAACTTGCCCAATGTCTCACAGCTGATGTGTTAACAGAGCCTGGATGAATAATAATTCACTATCAGGAAAACTGATAATTCACTATCAGGAAATAATTCACTATCAGGAAAACTAATTTGAAAGATATATTTAATCTACTAAAAAGAATTATAGGGATACTACCTGAAAATATAATCTTATCTATCATCTATCACCACAGGAATGCTGATTTACATACATGAAAATATAAACAGGGTACTATTTTTTAAAGCAGTCTGAATTTTCATGTACAAGCTTAGTGTGCCCTACCTTGCTGTGACTGAATATCTCAGTAGTAAGACCTTGTGTACTCTTTTATGGTCTAGATCATCTTTCCCTGGACCCGACCCAAATTCCTATTCTGGCTTCTCCATTCAACTGCTATTCCTAAATTCCTCCCTATCCGTCCAAGTTTTACTGAAACATTTTTCTTTTCGGGGTCCCATCTATTATCTTGTTTCTTTTTATATGTGGCAGAAATACAACTAAAAGAGAATCCCATTGTAACCTCCTCCCTCTTTACTTTTAGGAACCAGCCCACAAAGAATTGGTTTATCTATCCAACTACAGGACAGGACAGGGTGCTATGCTCTATTTATACCTTTTTTTTGTTTGTTTTTAAGATGAAAAAGAATTATCAAACTTCTAAGGAAAGGGGGTAAACAGAAGAAAAACATTTTAAAGTTTTGAAACTTAGAAATAAATAAGTAAATACCATTCTATGAGATGCTGCAGATACAGTAGTACAAAATAGACAAAGTCTTGTACTCACAGAGCTTACAACTTAAAAATCTGTGTTTTTTAAGTGTTGTAGTTACTCCAAATGATACTTAAGACTGTACCAAGGACACTGGGCATTTAAATAGCTCTTCAGAATTTTATAAAATGCTTTCTTGGCATCTCATTTAAGCCTTATTGCAACAACCTTGCAACATGCTATAATAGAAATTACTATTCCCTTTTTACTAATAAGAAAATAGATTAAGAAAACCTACATTTCTTTCTCAGTATGACACAAATAATAAGAGAAAGAGCCAAGGTTCAAGCCTAGGTCTTCTAGTTTCAAATCTACTATACTAAAAGTCTCTGCATAAAAATGAATCTGGCTTCTGTCAAGTTAATTAGAGCTCAGTGCATAACACCTGAAGTGAACACCTCGTAACCCATACATCATATCACAGTTTTACAAAGTCATGACAAAGCAATGGTCATACGAGGAAAGCAATTAAAGGGATCTCAATTCTAAAGAACAAGGCACAGCACCAGGCCTTTTCTACTCCCTTCTCTTCAAGCCAAACCTCATTTCCTATACTCTCCACTGCAAGTCTTGCCATGCAGTTTGAACATATAACTAAGCTATTCAACAGTATGAGAGCTCAAAAATTAGTTTATACTAATAAATATGTAGGGTTCTAGAGGGTGGTTGTGGGGCATACAAATATTTAATACCACTAAATACCATTGATCAGAACCCACAGAAATGTCTTTAAACAAAAAGTAGAGTGTGCAGAAGAACCTACTGAATACCCACACTTTTGCTACACTGATCTGAACTCCTGTGAGGTTATACTTGTGACTTATCTCAACTCTTATTACTTTTTCTCAAAGACAGTCAGAGATCTATCCCAATCTGTCTATTACAGACTGTGGAAGCTATAATTCTGACTACTCAGTATGCATTACTAAACTTCTTTTCTGATTAAAACACCACTAGCGACAACAAATCAACATCTACCCAAACACAGAAACCCCATTGCCTCAATTCCCTCCTCGAGCTGAAGAGATGGGTACAAGATTGTGTGGATTGTGATTTTTCAGGTGCATTTGGATTTTAATTTTCAATGTATTTAAATTTAAATTTGAAATGTATAGTCTAATTTGACTTACATTTCTTTTCTTTTCTTTTTTTTTTTTTTTTTTTGAGACAGAGTCTCTCTGTCACCCAGGCTGGAGTGCAGAGGTGCGATCTCGACTCACTACAACTTCCACCTCCCAGGTTCAAGCGAGTCTCGTGTCTCAGCCTCTCAAGTAACTGGGACTACAGGCAGGAGCCACCATGCCTGCCCAGTTGATATTTTTGCATTTTTAGTAGAGCTGGGGTTTCACCATGTTGGTCAGGCTGGTCTTAAACTCCTGACTGACCTCAGGTGATCCGCCTGCCTTGGCCTCCCAAAGTGCTGGGATTACAGGTGTGAGCCACCGTGCTCAGCCTTCATTTTAATTTTAAATTTGACTTAAAATTAAATTCAACAATATCCGAAAGAAGTCAAATTAGCTAAAGTAATCCTGTATTTTAAAAGGTTTCAACTAAAACACTTCTCTGTGAAATACTAAAATTTTTTATATTAATGGTAAAATAGTTCTCTATCTCTTATGATCAGTAACCAAAACTCAAAGTTCTTATAAAAATTTCTTAGACCTTAGCATTAGAAATTTTTATAAAAATTAATGACTTGATGATTTGACAAATTTATCATCACAGACATAGACCTGTTGTTGAGGGTTAAAAAACTTACACAAGCTCATTAAGCCAACAAGTAGTAAATCGGGACTTAAACTTGGAAGTTTAGTTGCCCCAGGGCCTGTGATTCTTTTTTATTTTTTCTCACATGGAGTCTCACTCTGTCCCCCAGGCTGCAGTACAGTAGTGCGATCTCGGCTCACTGCAATCTCCACCTCCCAGATTCAATTAATTCTCCTGCCTCAAGCCTCCCAAGTAGCTGGGATTACAGGTGCCTACCACATTTTTTTTTTTTTTGAAATTTCAGTAGAGACGTGGTTTTACCATGTTGGCCAGGCTAGTCTAGAACTCCTGACCTCAAGTGATCCACCCACTTCGGCCTCTCAAAGTGCTAGGATTACAGACGTGAGCCACCACGCCCGGCTGCTTTGTGATTCTTACCCACTCTACTTTTCTGCCTAATTGGTACCTGGCACACAACTGATGCTCAATAGGTTACCAAGTGAATAATGATCAATCACCTGTTTCACAAACTTTAGAGTTTTCTCAAGATGGTACTCAAGGTCCTATATGTCCTAGCCCCAATCTTATCTTCCCCTACTCTCTAAAATGCATCCCATATAATATAACCAAACTGTTCCCTCAAACACACGCTGCAACTTCGCATCCTGTCTCACTCTTCCTGTACTGGGTACTTTGTCCCCTACACCTCTACGCCTCAACAAATCCTCTTTAAGTCCCAGCCCCAAGTCATTATGTATAAAGCTTTCTCTAACCTCTTTGTCTTGTGATGATGTCTTTCATATGAACTACTATTGGGTTGGTGCAAAACTAACTGCAGTTTTTACCATTAAAAGTAATGACAAAAACCTAGTATAAAGCTTATTAAATTCAACAATTCTAAGCTGTAGGGTCTTTATGCACAGTTCCTTATTCTATAAGAAATAAGAACTTACAGCTATTTCTAAATCTACCTAGCATCGAACATAGTTCCTTATCCATCATGGGCATTTATTATATATTTAATTTACTGAATTTAAGATATACTTATCCAAAAATAAACCTACTGCCTCTGAAATAATCTCCTCATTTTTGATGTACCATTGTCTAATCTATGATTCCACATATGTATGTGTGCACACATATAATGCCAAACTATGCAATAGTTAAAATAGGGTAATAGCTCTTATCAGATAATAATGCTGAAAGTCTCAATATTGATAGAACCCAATTTTTACAAGAACCATTAAAGAAGTATTTCAGATTTGCACAAAGGTCAGCATATTAATGGTTCTGTACAACTAATACATACACATACTCTGCAGAAGAAAGAACCCAGGAACAATTTTAATAGTAATCATATATTTAAAACATCCCAAGCATTCATTTCCAAAAGATCTATCAGTCACATGTGCCACCATAACAATTTAGGTAGTTTCTTCACAAATTTAGATACAATTCTTTGGGGACTAGGCTCTTTTCCCATTATCCCTAAAACAAAAAGAGGCCAGCTCTAAATAAATGCAGCAGTCACAACCTCACCGACACTTAAGTCACTGTCATCTCTGGAAGACAGCCACCAAATACCATTCACGCTAAACGATTTTATAAAATAAATGAATGGCCTATCAGCCTCAGCTAAAAACGAACTGCTAATGGCAGAGATTGTGTTGGGAAGACTAACCAAAAAGTATCATAGAAATCTCTCCATTGGGGTGGAAGGAGCCAGGCACAGTGTCTCATGCCTGTAATTTCAGCACGTTGGGAGGCCAAGGCAGGCAGATCACTTGAGGTCAGGAGTTTGAGACCAGCCTGGCCAACATGGCTAAACCCTGTCTCTACTAAAAATACAAAAAATTAGCTGGGCATGGTGACACATGCCTATAGTCCCAGCTAATCAGGAGGCTGAGGAAGGAGAGTCGCTTGAACCTTGCAGTGGAGGCTGCAGGGAGCTGAGACTGCACCACTGCACTCCAGCTTGGGTGACATGATGTTTCAAAAAAAAAAGGAGGTGGAAGGAAGGACAGAAGGAAGAAGAAGGGAGGAAAGAAAGAGGAAATAAAAAGAAGGAAAGGAAGGGGGAAAAGTTCCGAAATCCATACACAAACTACACAATCTTCTTTTCATTGACATGACCCCAAAAATAAAAATAAAATCTACTTTCAAAGAGTTCTTTGAAAGAGCTCCTTGATTTCATGATCAAGTTATGTGGTTTGTAAAACTTGAAGATATTCAAGTCAATGATAAACACCAAATCACATGACCCACTTAAGGAACAGGCAGGGAAAACATCATCTGGAGTTTATACTGGCTGAGCAAATGAATGTACTTAGTCAAGACTGCACAGCACCACTTACAAAGCAAGCAATTGTTTCCTTTCAAATCCTCATCGTTTCTATCAGTGCTAACAAAATTATTTCCAAAAACACTAAATCAATACCACCTGCTAAAAAAAACCCCTCAAAACATTAAACTTAACCCATTAAAAAATGTGGGTTAAGCATCTTTTCAATTAAAATATTATTTTTAACAGTGTTTATCAGGTAAGCAAAGCAAAACACATATATCCTATGTAGGTATTCATATAAGAGCATATTTTAAAAATATAGAATATAGAAAATACTGCTCTAAAGTTATTTTCTATTTCTTGGCTGGGCACTATGGCTCATGCCTGTAATACCAGCACTTTGGGAGGCCAAGGTGGGTGGATCACCTGAGGTCAGGAGTTCAAGATCAGTTTGGCCAACATGGTGAAATCCTGTCTCTACTAAAAATACAAAAATTATCTGGGCACAGTGGTAGGCACCAGTAGTCCCAGCTAGTTGGGAGACTGAGCCAGAAGAATTGCTTGAACCCACCAGGTGAAGGTTGCAGTGGGCCAAGATTGTGCCCCTGCACTTCAGTCTAGACAACAGAGCAAGACGCTGTCTCAAAAAAAAAAAAAAAGAAAGAAAAGAAAAATATATATATATATATATGTAGCTATTTTCTATTTCTGAATGCTCTCCTAATATTTATTGCTAAATGAAGAGAAAGAAAAAAATAGTACAGGCACCACTTTTAATAATGTATAATGATTTCTTCACTTACAAATGAATTAAAACACACATGAAAAAAACTCTCTCTTGTACAAATTATTTTTTTATAAAAAAGGAAGAACTATTTTTAGGCCCAAGATGTTTCTAGAAACAAACTAAAAACCCCACTCAGGCCTGGCGCAATGGCTCATGACTGTAATCCAAGCACTTTGGGAGGCCCAGGTGGGCAGATCACCTAAGGTCAGGAGTTCGAGATCAGGCTGGCCAAAATGGTGAGACTCCCATCTCTATTAAAAATACAAAAAAATTAGCCAGGCGTCGTGGTGCACACCTGTAATCCCAGCTACTCAGGAGGCAGGAGAATCGCTTGAACCTGGGAGGCAGAGGTTGCACTGAGCCAAGATCAAGCCACTGAACTCCAGCCTGGGCAACAGAGTGAGACTTCATCTCAAAAACAAACAAACAAACAAACAAAAACCCATTCAAAGAAAACTGATGAAGTAAGGTTACTATCTCTTTGAAAACTACTGTTACTCATTAAGAAGCTAAGTCCTAAGAATAAATTTCGTAAAATTCCAAAACAAATATGTTTTGGCATTTTCATGGTAATTTCAGCCTTAATGTCATAAATTTTCATAGGGCATCTGCTACCTAAGCTTTACAACATGGCATCTCATGCACAGAGCAAGTAATCCTTGGTTCTTGTTTATCTTAGAAAAAGGTACAAGGGCAAGGGAAGACAATACTTAATGTCACATTAAAAATCTGTTCTCAGATTATCTTCGTCCTCAAGAGGGCAGTCAATATAAACCTTCAGTAAGGGGAGTTTTCAAAAGTGCTTTTGGAAGTCATCTTCTGCTTCTTCATCAAACAGTTTATTTCTTATGACTCTAAATGAATGAGTTTTATCAGTTACTAGGAATTTATTTTAAAATACATTTTTTTTAAATCCTCTCCCCATTCCCCCCACCCCACAGGTTCAATACAAAATACTCCCATCAAGCACAATGACAATCTGGACTTATATTTCTGGCAATGCAGCCCCATGGCTGGAGATCACCTAAAAATGTTGTATTAAGTGTTTAAAAAATTTTTTTTAATGTATGGAAGAGCCAACAATAAAGTAAGAAAAATGTTCCAAGGGTAGAAATAATTTTTTAAAAAGTACAAGTCTAGAGAGGTGAGTTAGTGCCCCTGGGGAATCTACATAGCCCTGGTGGAATGACTCTGATGTGGGAGGGGAGTTATAGAAAACAGGGTAACATAGGCAGCAAAACTTGAGGGCCTACACAAAATGGGGAGCCTAAGCAAAGACCCTCTCACATAAAGTTCCTGAAGGGGGTAAATTAAAAAACAATTCATCTTACAACCAACAATTCATCTTACAACCGATACACATGAAGGAATGGTCAGGGTAAAAAAGGTTAAATGCAAACAGGTAAATCTAAACACTGTTATTTCTGGAGCTGAAAGATCAAATCCGAAAACTATAACATCTGATAAAAAATAGTTCTTGTCAGAAGAAGGTTCAGGATAAGGTTAAAAATTGCATTTACATTTAGACTTTGTTAAATATGCATGTTAACATTTCTGTGGTAACCACAGAGAAAATAAGAAATAGAACAGAAAACTTTCAACACAGTTCAAAGTGGGGGAAATGGAGTAAAAAATCAAACAAAAGATAACAGAAGTATATGACATGGTAGAAAGAATTTAGGTCCTAGAGTCAGACATTCTGGGCTCAAATCACAATTCTGCATGTATTTCTTCTAACTACAGACAAGTAACCTACTTTTAAAATTTTAGTTTCCTCATGTTTATAAAAGGAATAATAATATAAACTTTTTTGTCTAGTATTTGAGTTAACATGCAATACAGTCCTAAAACAAAGAAGCACGGACACCTCTTCCCATTCTCTTCATTTCATGACACTGAAGTATGCTCAACTAGTGAGGAGGTCATTGTTTTAAGCTGCTGGATCACACTTTCATCTTGAATATCACAACTATTACATAGAATTTTTCCTTGACTTTCTATGTATTCCTTCCTTATTCAGGATTAAAAAGCTTCTAACTCAAATTATATGTAGTACCTCAAGTTTATTATTCCTAAACTATGCTTAAATATGTTTAGATTTTCACAAGAAAGATTAAGTTAAATCTAACACAAATGCCCCTTCCACACCAAAATGCCAAAATTAACAATGCCTATAAAACCCAGTTGCTGCTTTATTAGATAGCTAACTACCCCTGAACCCACTTCTAGAAATAAAAGAATGATTATTAATTTTATAAACTTAAAGATATATAACTCACCTCTGTTAATTAAAATCTGTCAAAGTTAAGAATTAGCATGTAATCAAAATTTGATAAAACATCTTGTTGCATGAAAATTATTTCATCAGTTTAGAAATTGTACTCCCAAAATTAAAGTGTTCAGTAAAAGCTGAGTAAGTCAAGCATTCCGAGTAACAGTGTTATAAAAGTTGACTCTAAGAACAAAAAAATGTGAAAAATTTAATTCAATAACCCACATATGGATGATCCATTCCCCTACCCCTTTTTATAATTCTCCAAAGCCAATTTTAAATTCTGAGTGGAATTTTTCTCTTCAACACAGGATGTTTCCAGAATTCCACCATCTGCAAATTTACAGAATAAAAATTATGTATCTGAGACAAACTTCAAATGGCAAATTTGTCCCCCAAATTATAATATAATCCAAAAGAAATACTGTACATGCTTTAACTATTTGTCTCTACCGGTACAGAGGACTAACTTTAGAGCATATATGCCAAAAAGTCATCAAGTTAACACAATCCTTTTACCTGAAATACAAATGCTGAAAGCAGAAAATGTCTTGCAAGAAACCAACTGGCAACCACTAAAAGTAAAGATGAAAGTTTTATTAGAATAGAAATGGAAAACCTTGCATATATACATACACTCTAATAGAAAATGACATGGGAGAATGTTATACATAGAAATCTTAAATAGGGGCTGTATAATTTATAAAACAGGAGGCATCAGCTTTATAGCAAAGGAGTTAAGAGCTAAAACTCTGAAGTTAGATTGTCCAAATTTCAATGGTTAAAGATATTATATTTTAGTTAATAGCCCCCTAATAGGAGTGGATAATCTCAACACCCATCACACAGCATTCATCAGATATAATAACCTAAAGGCCAATACCAGACAATCACAGATCATTAAAAAAATTCTTAAAGTATAGGCCAGGTGCAGTGGCTCACGCCTATAATACCAATACTTTGGGAGTCTGAGGTCTTCCAAATGAGGCTGGCTCATTTGAGCCAGGAGTTTGAGACCAGCCTGGACAACATAGTAGAACTCCCATCTCTATAAGAAGTTAAAAAAAAAAAAAAAAAATAACTGAGCATGGTGGCACACACCTGTAGTCCAAGCTACTCAAGAGGCCAATGTGGGAGGATCACTTGAGCCCAAGAGGTTGAAGCTACAATGAGTAGTAATCATGCCACTGAACTCCAGCCCAGGTGACAGAGTAAGACCCTATCTCAAACAACAACAACAAAGTATTAAAGTATAGGAGACTACTAATCTGTGCAATTGAGCCCAGAGCTCTAATTACTAATAATCAAGTTATGGTCTTAAAGGACTAATGGAATATTTCTATAATATACCACTGCTGAAGTGATCTTGAGGGGCAACCAAGAATAATAATCAACCATGGAAAGAAGAAAAACTCAGCCTGGGCATGGTGGCTCAGGCCTGTAATCTCAACGTTTTGGGAGGCCAAGGCGGGAGGATAGCTTGAGCCCAGGAGCTTGAGACTGATGTAGGCAATGAAACAAGACCTCTGTCTCTACAAAACAATTTTTAAATTAGCCATGTGTGGTGACACACACCTACAGTCCCAGCTACTTGGGAGGGTAAGGCAGGAGGATTGCCTAAGCACAGGAAGTCAACGCTATAGTGGGCTATGATCTCACCACTGCACTCCAGCCTGGGCGACAGACCAAGACCCAGTCTCAAAAACAAACAAATCAAATATTTGATAAGCACAGCAATTCAATATGACCACACATAGTTTAACTGCTGAGGGGGTGAGGAGGCTGGGATAACAATGTATTAGAGATACAAGTTATTTAGCTGGGCACAGTGGTGGCTCACGCCTACAATCCCAGCACTTTGGGAGGCTGAGGCCTGCAGATGGCTTGAGGCCAGGAGTTTGAGACCAGACTGGCCAACATGGTGAAACCCCGTCTCTACCAAATGCACAAAATAATTAGCCAGATGTGGTGGTGGGACCTGTAATCACAGCTACTCAGGGGGCTGAGGCATGAGAATCGCTTGAACCTGGAGGCAGAGGTTGCAGTGAGCTGAGATCGCACCACTGCACTCCAGCCTACGTGACAGAATGAGGCTCCATCTCAAAAACAAAAGAAAAAAAAATGGGGGGATACAAGCTATTCCAAATGGCTTGGTTCTCTCAGGTTCCAGTGAGTAAAAATGTATCTATTGCAGAAAATTATTAAAGTTCAGTTTTTATTTGACTTCCTTTTTAAATATTTATTAATTGACAATATAAATTGTATATATTTATGGTATACAATATGTTTCCATATATGTATACATTATGAAATGGCTAAATCAATATATTTGACCTTGACAACCTATGAAAATCTAGGCAGTTTCTGGGAAAGTAACACCCATGTCTAAAACCTCCAGTTGGGAATGAAAAGGAAAGACTCTCAAGAATGCTTGAATTCTTATACCACCCCCACACCCCGACATTCCCCACCCCTGGGGAGAAACTATTTGAGACTGAACTGTTAACTGGCAGCAACCACCATGAGCATCACCTGAACAGGCATCTAGGGCAGCAATCTAATAACTACTCATTTGGTAGCCACTAATTTACTCTTCATTTCAAAGCAGGCTTTTTATCTAGGTTTAAAAAAAATGAAACTAAAAAAATTTTTTGCAGCAGCAGCAGATGGAAACGCATTCATCATTGCCCTCTATTATCCTTTTCAGCTGGCAATAACTTGTGGTTGTAAAGCAAAGAAAAAAAGAGTTTGGGTGATTTTAATCAAAGCTTGGATTCTAGCCCTGCCCTGAAGCATGCTGTAATATGAGAAAGGTTCCAGCCTCACATTCCAACAGAAATGAATTTTTATGTGAATAGCCCCCCTCCATCAACTGCCACCTCTCTTTTTGTTATTGTTTTGAATTGATGCAGCAAATATTTTTAAAGTATCTGCTACTTTCAACTACGTGAGATGCTACATTAATTATGGTACCATCCTTGAAAAAAAATTGAGTTACACTTAACGAATGCTTAAAGTGGAACAAATGGAAAATAAAACACTTTAGAAGTATGCAGATATACAAAAAAAAATGTAGAAACAACATGCTGCTTACCTCTCTAAAAAGTGCTTTAGGTGTAGGTACCAAATCATTAAAGGTGCTTTTGAAATGTAGAAGAAAACATTGTATAAGCAGAAGCAGAAGGGCTTTAAAATATGCTCCGCCATTTACAAGTAACACAAGCTTAGACAAATTACTTAATCTCTCCAAAAGTGAAATATAAACATCTACCTTATATAAGGGTTGTTATAAGAAATGGGTAATATATTAAATGCCCAGTGCAGTGTCTGGCATATATGATTAATAAATAGAGGCCAGGATCATTAGAGGCATTTTCAACAAGTAGGACACATTTACTGCTGACTTTTCCTCCTTGGTGAAAAAAATGTATCATGTCAATAAAACTTGTTACTGTTCTACAACAAAATAAGTTTCATAAATGAATATGTAACTTAATATATAAATTAGAAGTATTTATCTTATAACAAGTTGGGAGATGAGAAACTGTAACTAAGAGGCATATAACATTCGTCAGAGAGTACTTAAACAAAAAAAAATGTAATGAAATTACTGAGGACCTGGAGAAGGAAAAAAAATACAAGAAGTAGCTATACCTATTTGTCAAGTTGAAAAAGATCCTGTCTCCTCCCATTTTTCTTCCTCCTCTTCTCAACTCCTATAGGGAAGAAATATGTTCTCAGATACCGGGAGTCCAAAAAAAAAAAAAAAAAAAAAAAAAAGGAAAGAAAAAAATGTGAAGTAACAAGGTAAACAAGGAAGCAATCTACGTATATTAAAACACTTTGCTAATTCTTTAGGTGAACAGGACTTTGTAGTTTTACAAAATTCACTTGAAATACATATACTTTTTTGCTGTTTACTTTTTAATTTTTATTTGCATAAATTTAAGGGGTCCAAGTGCAGTTTTGTTACATGGATATATTGTGTAATGGTGAAGTCTGGCCTTTTTGTGTAACCATCACCCAAGCAATGTACATTGTATCCATTATGCAATTTCTCATCCCTCACCCTCCCACCCTTTCCAGTCTTCAGTGACTATTATTCCACATTCTACTTCCACGTGTATGTGTTATTTAGCACTTATAAGTGAGAACATGTAGTATTTGACTTTCTAAGTTCTTTCACTTAAGATAATAACCTCCAGTTCCAGCTATGTTGCTGCAAAAGACATGACTGCATTCTTTTTAAAGCTGCACAGTATTCATGTGTGTGTGTACACCACATTTTCTTTAGTCATCTATGATGGCTGCTTAGGTTGATTCTATATCTTTGCTATTGTCAATAGTGCTGCAATAAACATACTGAGTGCAGGTATCTTTTTTATATAATGACTTATTTTCCTTTGGGTACATACTCAGTATTAGGATTGCTGAATCAAGTGGTAGTTCTACTTTTAGTTCTCTGAGAAATCTCCACATTGTCTTCAGAGTTTGTACTAATTTAATACTCCCACCAACAGCATATAAGTGTTCCCTTTTCTCTGCATCCTAATTTACTTTGGGATTAGGTCTATCAGTCATTCCACAATTTATTCTGAATTAACTTAGATAATTCAGACTAGCTAACAGTTATGAGAGAAACAGATCTCCTTTGGGAGAGAGGTTAAGGGACAAAAAGATAAATGGATGATTTTAATGCACGGGTACTTAGGAGATGAGAAAACATCATTATCCAAGGAAAAAATAAGAGAGCAGGGAAGAGGAGATTTTAAGAAGGTACCAAAGATTATGGAACAAATATAATGATCAACACTCCATTCACTCTGATATTTTAGAGGCAATAATTTGCCAGCATGTCTCACTGAAAATCAAATGCTACTGTAGATTACCAAAACTTACCAACTGTAGAATTGTGAAACAGAAAACCTTATGATTTGAAACACTGAGGTCTGTATGTATGAAGCTGTTCTATCTCATGATCAAACTGTATTAAATCATTTATAAAAATCATTATTGAAAATTCAATGTTTATATAATTACATCTTTAAAAACCCCGTTAGAATTACAAGGAAAATATTCAAACTTTCTTCCCCTGAAAGCCTCTGTCAAGCTTTGCTGAACTTTTTCTGCTTATAAATGTAGAAGTACAGCCCGGCATGGTGGCTCATGCTTGTAATCCCAGCACTTTGGGAAGCCAAGGAGGGTAAATCACAAGGTCAGGAGTTCAAGACCAGCCTGGCCAACATGGTGAAACCCCGTCTCTACTAAAAATACAAAAAAAAAATTGGCCAGGCATGGTGGCGGGCACCTGTAATCCCAGCTACTCAGGAGCCTAAAGCAGAGAATTGCTTGAACCTGGGAGGCGGAGGTTGCGGTAAGCCAAGATCGTGCCACTGCACTCCAGTGTGGGCAACAGAGTGAGACTCCATCTTAAAAAAAAAAAAAAAAAAAAAAGTAGAAATACATGAATTTCTCAACTTAAATTTAAAGCCTAGCAAACTTAGTATACAAAATGATATAGAGAGGTTTTGTCAAGCTTGAAGTGTTCCAGAAAGAATCCTTCCTAATACATCTT